CGCCATGGGTCCGGGGCGCACGCAGCGCCGGAGCCACGCCCCGCCCCGCGCCAGCCCCTCCGCCCCCCCCCCCGGCCGCCGGGGGAGAGGGTCGGCCAAAAGCCGAGATAGATGCTGCGCGCCGGACAAATTTGTGACTCTGGGCTGTGGGCCAGACGGTTCAGCTGATCCGGTCATGTTATCATCGATCGGCGCGGCTGACTTGCCCCACGGACGGTCTGGATCGGCGGTCCGCAGATGGGCCCCCTCCCGGCGGGGAAGAAGCCGTGAGTACGCCCTTGGGCCGGGCGGTGTTTGTTTTTTTCCCGGGGGTCCCTCCTTATATAGACAGCAGGGACTGGGGGGGGGGGGGAATTTCGTGCGTGTGTCCGTGTCGAAGGAGCTCCCTCCCCTCCGAGGATTGGGCGAGCCCCGCGTGTGTGCCCATCCTGTGCCGGCCCGAGTGGGTGATGTCCTGACGCGGAGCCCCTCCGGGCCGGAGGGGCTTCTCATATGAGGAGGACGTTCAACAGAGTCCGCCCCCCCCCCCCCCCCCTCCCCTGGGGACTAGGGAAGTGCCCGGACAAGGTGGCGCAAGTGCCCGCACCCCTCTTGCGCCACGCTGCATGAGGAAGGCACAATTTATGAATCAGAGGGGAAAGGGGCCCCCCCGGGGGGGGGGACCTGGCGAGCGGAGCGGTGGCTGAGTCTCAGACGTTCCAGGCCGTGTTGCGCCCCCCCCCTCCCCCCCGAACGCCCCTGGCCGATTCCCGGGTGTCTCTTTTCGTAGGTGGGATCCTCGTTGCGTCACAGGAGGGACAACAAACGAGCTGGTGCCCACGCCCCCCTCCCCCGGCCCGGGAAGACGCCGGAAATGTATGCCCTGTGGGCATGTCCCCGGTGCTTGCTTGCGCAGGGGGGCAGTGACCCGGTCCTGGACGCAAACCGCGGGAGGTGGCCGGGGCGGGACGGGGCTCGTATCTCGCTCCTCGGTGCACGGTGGGGCCTATATCAGCGGGCGGCGGCCGGCCAGGCGCCCAACTGGCCGCCGTCAGGACACCTACCCCCCCCCCCCCCTTCTCCCCCCCCCCCCCCTGCTGGCCCGCCAGTTCTCACGACCCGAAAGTCATGCCCCCTTTTGAGAAGAAGTCCTGTATGTTGCCTGCCCCTCCTCTCCGACTGTTCCGCCCCGCCCTGCTGCCCGCCCCCCCCCCCGCCCCCGGGTCACCCGTTCCCCCCCCCCCCCCCCCCCACAGCCGGCTCCGGAGAGATCCACTCGGTCTTCCGCATCAAGCCCTACTTCTTCCTCCATGTGCTGAACCAGAACACCAACGTGACGGATGTCATCTGCGGGCCGCGGACGTTCATCTGCCAGGACCACGAGCGCGTGGTCCTGGAGCCGACGCCCATGATCAGCATCGGCCCGGCCGAGTACTGCATCGTGGAGAACCCGGTGGCGGTGGACCCGGCCACCGGGGCGATTCGCCGTGACCCGGCCACCGGGCAGATCCTGCTGCAGCTGAGCGAGACCGAGGTCCGCCTGGCGCAGCCGCCCTTCCCGCTGTACCCCGGCGAGAAGGCCGGCGAGCTGTGCAAGCTCAAGAGCATCGACGCGCTGTCGTCCTTCCGGATCCGCGCCACCCGGCAGTTTGACATGGAGGTGACGGTCCCCTTCGGCCAGCCGAAGGCGCTGGCCGCGGCGCAGGCCTTCGACCCCGGCCTGACGCGCCTGCTGAAGGCCCTGCCGGCGGAGGAGCTGGCCGCCGCCAAGGCCGCCGGTGTCCCGCGCACCTTCACCATCACTCGCCACATCAGCGACGAGTGGATGCAGGCCGGCCCGTCCACCTTCATCCCCTCGCCCAATTATGTCATGGCCAGTGTCGTGTCGGCGCACATCCTCCGCAAGGATTCGGCCATCCGCCTGCTGGCCACGGCCAACTGCGTGTCGCAGCACGACGGCGCCGACCGTGTGGCCGGCGAGGAGTGGCACGTCCCCATCCCCGGTCCCTATGTGCCGGGTGTCTGTGAGCAGGTCATCGGCGTGGACACGGCCCACATCCTGTCCGAGGGCCAGGCCCTGCTGCTCAGTGTACGCCTTTCCTCGGCTTCTCCTTCTGCCTGCCCCTCCCTGTCCTGCTCCTGGTCTCTCGGCGGCACTGCCCCCGCCCCCCGCCCCCCTGTGCGCATGTCCCCAGGCCAAGCACACGTTCGTCGATGCCTATGGCAAGCGCCGGCGCAACGCCGAGGAGTGGCTGATCACCTACCAGGACGCCGAGTCGCACCTGCTGGACGTCCACGAGCAGCTGGTCAAGTATGTGAACATCACCACCCTCAGCTCGCGCCAGTACTGCGTCATCCTGGACCCGGTCTGCCCGACGACCGGCAAGAACATGCTCGGCCAGCGGAAGCTCCTGCGCGGCGAGCAGTCCTTCTTCCTCAAGCCCGGCGAGTCCCTGGAGAAGGGCATCCAGTCGGTGTATGTGCTGAGCTCCGACCAGGGCCTTGTCCTCCGGGCGCTGGAGGAGTTCACCGATACCTCGGTCCGGCCGGGGGCCGCGGCCGGCGCCGGCCCGGTCACCTACATGCCCGGCGACCGGTGGATGATCTTCGGGCCGTGCGAGTATGTGCCGCCCACCTCGGTGGAGGTGGTCTGCCAGCGGGAGACCATTCCCCTGAGCGAGAATGAGGGCATCTATGTGCGGGACAACCGCACTGGCCAGGTCCGCCTGGTGCACAGCCAGTCGTACATGCTGCGCGAGGAGGAGATCTTCTTCAACAAGGAGCTCCCGGCCGAGATCGAGGCCCTCATCAGCATGGACCCGGTGTCGGAGCGCTTCTCCTCCTCCAATGCCAACTCCCTGACCCGGCAGGCTTCCTCCCGGCGGTCCAAGCATGCGGCCGTCAAGTTCGGCATCCCGCACAATGCCGCGGTGCAGATTTACGACTACCGCGCTCGTGTGGCTCGTGTGGAGATCGGCCCGGATCTGGTGATGCTCCAGCCGGATGAGATGTTCACCCTGCTGAGCCTGTCCGGTGGCCGGCCCAAGCGCCCGAATGCCATCAAGTCCATTTGCCTGCTGCTGGGCCCGGACTTCTGCACGGACATCATCACGGTCGAGACGTCGGACCATGCGCGCCTGCAGCTGCAGCTGGCCTACAACTGGCACTTCCGGGTGCCGCCCACCCCGGGCCCGGGGGAGGACCGGACCGCCTTCAATGAGGAGATGCGCAAGCTGTTCTCCGTGCCGGACTTCATCGGCGAGATGTGCCATGCCATTGCCTCGCGCATTCGTGGCACCGTGGCCTCGGTCCCCTTCGACGAGTTCCACCGGCACTCGGCGCGCATCATCCGATCCAGTGTCTTCGGCGAGACGGCCAATGCCACCGCCATGGCGGCGGCGGCGGCGGCGGCCAGCCCGAGCACCGGCATGGAGCCGACCATGGTGCCGACCATCGGCGGTACCACCGCCACCTGCCAGGAGTTCGTCCTCTTCTCCAACAACCTGGTGGTCACCAGTGTGGACATCCAGTCGGTGGAGCCGGTGGACCAGCGCACTCGCGATGCCCTGCAGAAGTCCGTGCAGCTGGCCATCGAGATCACCACCAGCAGCCAGGAGGCCACGGCCAAGCATGAGGCCGAGCGCCTGGAGCAGGAGGCCCGCGGTCGACTGGACCGCCAGCGGATCCTCGATGATGCCCAGGTGGAGAAGGCCCGGCAGGAGCTGCTGCAGCTGCAGTCCGAGTCGGCGGCCGTCGAGAGCCAGGGCTTTGCCGTGGCCGAGGCCACCGCTCGGGCCGAGGCCGCGGCCATCGAGGCCCGCGCGGCCGTCGAGCAGGCCCGCCTCCGTGCCGAGGCCCAGGCCATCGAGGCCCGTAGTGAGCTTGATCGCCTGTCGGCTGCCCGCGCGGCCGAGATTGACTTCCTGCAGAAGCAGCTGGAGCTGGAGGTGCAGAAGTCCCGCCTGCTGGCCGACATCGAGGCTGCCAAGTTCTCCAACATGGTCGGCAGCATCGGCCAGGCCACCCTGGTGGAGATGGCCCGTGCCGGGCCCGACGCCCAGGTCCGCCTGCTGCAGTCGCTCGGCATCCGGAGCACCCTCATCACCGACGGCAAGAGCCCGATCAACCTCTTCCAGACGGCTCAGGGGCTCGTGGCCCCGCCGCCGTCGGCCGGCGGTCTGCTGGCCGACGTGACGGCCGGCGCGGTCCCCGTGTCTGGCGCTGGTCAGGCTGCCCCGAGTGTCGCTGCCCCTGCCAGCAATTGAAAGCGCGATGAGCCGGGCCCTTTTGATACATTTGGGCGGGGGCTGGCCGTCGTGTGGGGACATGATGCTCCCCTTCCTCCCAAAATAAATCCACTCGCACATGGCATGTCAGTCCAGCCTGCGCGCGTGCGCGCGCGCACACACACATACAGACACTCCTGGGAGGGTGGTTGAGGGCGAGCGAAGGGAAAGTGTGGTGTGTGCGTGTGCGGGGGTGTAGTATCCCCCCCCCCCCCCCTGCTTCCGCGTGGTGTGGTGTGTATGAAAAGGGCATGGGACTTTGTTTTCGGGTGTTTCCTTCGGCTTGTCTTCCCCCGCCCCGGATCCTGGGGGCCGCGGCCTCGCTGGCGCTCCCCTGTCCGGTCCACTTTTTTGAAAGGCCAAAAATGCATCTTTTTCACTGACATTGTCCGTGTTTTGTCTGAACATTTCTCCGACATCAGAATGTCGCACATGATCACGGACCTGTTCATGATTATCCTGACGTATCTCCCCACTCTCAAGCCCGAACGATCGCGGCTGCGCGGCTGCACGGCCCCCGGGCAGGCCGCCACCTCTCCAGGCGGGATATGTCAGATGCCCCCCCCCCCCCCCCCCCCCCGCCTACCGCCCACCACCTCCCACTCCATCTTGACGCACTTCCGGGGCCCCCCCCCTCCCCCACCCGCGCCTCTCTCCGGGCGGGCAGCCACCATCCGCGCTCCATGATGCCAGCGTCGCCTGGGGAGATAAGGGGGCTGGCGCGGAAGGTGACGCCGACGCCGGGCGGGTTTACACATTCTCCACACGCGCCCGTGGTGGCCCTTACAAGCGGGCCACGCCCCGCCCGTCCGCCTGCCCGGCAGCCGATCCCCTGAGGGGGGAGCCGCGGGAAGGCGAACCTCGTCCCCCCCCCCCCCCCCCCCCCCCTTCGCCCTCTCCTTAATCATTGCCAGACCCAGTTCGGCCGCGCCAGGGGCGAGGACCAAGGCGGACAGCTATTCCCGACCAGTCGGCCAATCTCAAAGAGCCGGCGCAGTCTGGCGCGCGCGATCGCCGTGCCCCCAGCATGAACCGCACTCCCCCCCCCCCCCCCCCTTGGCTTTATCACCCCCTCCCATTCCCCCCCCCATTCCCCCCCACCCCCTTCTCCCTCCCCCCTCCCCCTCCACCCCCTTCTGCCCCTCGTTTGTTTTTGCACCCGCCGCCTCCGGCACCGGGTGCCCTCCCTCCAACACCATGGACTTGCATGGAGCACGCGATGTGTCGATCGCTTCCACAGCCGGCATTCGGTCGACCGCCTCGCCGGAGTCCAACCTGGCGGCCGCCCAGCGCGAGGCCGACAATGTTTTGCAAAAACTCAACATCGCCTCGGCGCGCAATCTCGTCTCCGAGACCCGGTGCGTTGGTCGGCCGCGTGCTTTGCTCCACACGCCAGCCTCGTCTGCCTTCCTCGCATGCGCTCTTGCCTTGGCTGACGCCCTGTTTCCCCTTTCCCGGACTGCCCCGGCCTTTCCCCCACCTGGGTAATGGCGTGGGCCATCGCCACAGCGCCGAGATGGAAGCACGCCGGCGCGAGCTCCGTACACTTGTCGGGTACGAATGGGGCCTGTTTCCATCTGCTAGTCTTCGCTTCCCCCCCCCCCTCTCTCTCTTTGTGCCATCTCCACATTCGTGGCGTGGTCTAACAATTGGTGTCCAGCGAGCGATACCGCGACCTGCTCAGCTCGGCATCGGCCGTGCGTGCCATGCGCGACACTGCAGCCGGCCCCTTCAAAGGCAGCTTGCTCAAGGCATCGCTGGCGGCACAGGCGGCCACCAATCTGTCGGCCAGCCGACCGATCGGGTCTTCCGGGGCCGGCGGCCTGCTGGCCATCTCCAAGGATGAGCTCCTGCAATCGGCCACTCGCTCGGTGGCGGTCCGGGCCCTGCTCGATGCTCCGGCTCAGGTGCGTTTTCCGGCCTGCATGGGCCATCTTCCTCCCCGCCGGATGTGTTGCTAGACCCGACGGAGCAGGGAGCGGTGGAGGAGCAAGAGAGAGAGAAAGAGAGATGAGGGGCGCCTCTTTCTCGCCCGCCCTCCGCCCGCCCTCCGCCCGCCCTCCGCCCGCCCTCCGCCCGCCCTCCGCCCGCCCTCCGCCCGCCCTCCGCCCGTCGTACTGGCTCGCCAACACGGGCCCCACCATTGACGCCACTCGTCGACCAAGATCTGGTCCTCGCTGGATGCCCACGACTTCCTGTCCGCCGCGCGGGTTTACATCCACACCCGGCGTCTGTACCATGCGTCGTTGCCTCGGCTGAACCCCGGGGCCAACCCCCCGGCCGGAGCCGAACCCGACAGCCTGGGGGCCATCTCCCCGGCGGATCTCGGGCAATGGTGGCGATCGGTCGAGCCACTTCGCTTGCGTGTAATCTCCGCCTGTGTGGCGTACCTCCAAGCGCCGGGCTGCCTGCTGCCGGATGGGCCACTCCCGGCGGATGAGCTGAGCGCCGCGGCTGCCGGCGTTCCCGGGGTCCTGACCAAGCCGGTGTCCCTGCGTGACGCCACCGCCAGTGCTCGGGCCCTCTATTCGTTGGTCCTGCTGGACGCCGATACCGAGGTGTCCCTGACCCTGGGGAGCTGGCAGGCGCTGCTGGCGACCGGGGACTCCGCCTCCGGGGCGGCTGCCCCTGATGAGGAGGATGCCGTGGCCGGGGCCGTTGTGGCGGCGGCGGCGGCCGCCGCGTCGGCCGACCAGCGCCTGCTGCAGATCCTGCTCTTTGCGCGGCTGCGCCTGCTCCAGCGTCTGCTGTCCGACAACCGGTGCCCGGGTGCCGACCACGGGCCCGGGACTGTGGCCCTCCTGGCCCGGCGCCCGGCCTTGGCCGACCTGCTGGCCCTGCGCCTGGTTGTCGACACGGTCCAATTGGCCACGCTATGCCCCCTCCTGGTGGACCACTCATCGGGCCTGGCCCAGGCGCTGGCGTCTGACATGTCGGTGGCCGTGGATGCCATCCCCCCGGCCGAGCCCGATCCCCGGGTTACCGAGTGGCTGCGTCTCGGCGTCCTTCCCCTCCTGTCGGGGGCCGCCTTCCGGTCGATTGTGCGTGGTAGCCCCCCCCCCCCCCCC